AATTCACTCACTGCTGCTGAGTATGGCCCTGCTTTGACAGCCTAAAGATCAGTAGGAGATTGCTGGTCACCCTAAAGATGGCTGTGGATGTTCTTACTTGGATAGCCCAAAGACTGCAATTGCTAAGTACAGTTTACACTCAAGTCTACATCACTGAACAGTCAATAACTTCACTTTGATACTATAGACTTGAGGTTAAAAAAAATCATACTCATACTCAAATTCCTGACGTGGTACTGTTTGACGTTTAGTATACTGTTATAGTAGGGAAACTATTTATAATTGCACTATTCAGTGTCACTAAGATGAGGATGGGTTCCCTTTTGAGTCTTGAGTCTCAAGGTTTCTTCCTCATGTCGTCTCAGGGAGGACTTCCTTGCCACTTGCTTAGGGATACATTTAAATCTATATTCAGATTTCTGTAAAGCTGATTTGTCAACATGTCCATTGTTAAAAGCACTCTCTCTCTCTCTCTCTCTCTCTCTCTCATACATATATATTATATATATATATATATATATATATATATATATATATATATATATATATATATATCTTTATATATATATATATATATATATATATATATATATATATATATATATATATATATATATAAATATAAATAAAAAGTTTCAGATATATATATATAAAGTTTCAGATTCTCAGTTGGATTCAGGTCTGGACTTTGACTTGGCCATTCTTGAATGGAATTGATTCGAAAGAGTTAAGCTAAGCTGTGCTATGTCCTGAAGAGTCTTCCATGGTGGAAAACCATAATGACAATTACAAAGTGCTGACACCCAAGGGTCCTTCCATAAATGTTAAATAAACATTGTCTTAGGGAAAGCTTCACCAAATCAATAATTATGTGATTATTAATATAAACATTGATCCGAATTCCAATCAGCACTATTGTCAGAGAAATTCGTCAACACCTTCTGACCAATCAGATATTGAATTGTCTATACATCCATCCATCCATCCATCCATCTTCTATTGCTTACTCCTTCTTCAGGGTCACAGGGGAACCTGGAGCCAATCCCAGGGAGCATCGAGCACAAGGCTAGGTACACCCTGGACAGGGTGCCAGTCCATCGCAGTTGTTTATACATGTGTTTGTTTAAAAAAAATGCACAGCAATGATTTAGAGTAACACAACAAAGTTAAAGATAAAATACAACTGATTACTGACAAACATAGAAACCGTATTGGAAATCTTCAAATTATAACTTTATCTCTGAGTGTTGCAAAGCACTAACACTGGAGACTCCTTGCAAAAATGTTAAATAAACATCTCCTCATAGGTAACCACCACATTAATGATTACACCCACTTTTTTCAATAAATTTATGTGAAGAGTCTGACATACAAGTCCCTGTGTATGTCGTTACTATAGAAATGATAACATTATAATGAGGACATTATTATAAATCTTCCCGTTGTTCAATGCATTCTGACCAATCAGAATCAAGGCTTCAAAAGCTGTTGTAAAATGCTTTTAATTAATGTCTCTTTATGTGTTTACACAGTAAGCATTGAGAAGGACAGTGAGCAACACCACATGTTAAATTGCAATGTAACTTTGACCGTATCAAACGGAAAACCAGCAACCAGCATTGGAAAATAATGTGCAAACTGTATTTACTATTGCCGGTGGACAGCTTGGGTTGGATGCACAACAGGGTTGACCTCTAAAAGCCCAAGCCTCATGAGTGAATCAATAAGATAATGTGATTGAGGAAATGGGGTATTCTACTGAGTTATATAAACAGCACAGTTGTCTACTCTGACAGTTGTGCAAAAGGGCCACTCACTCGTGTAATTTTTCACAGCCCCGTAGCAGGTGATATGCACATCCGGGCTGTATGTAGCACACACAGTGGGATTGTGATTATTGGCAGAGTTTTTAAAGGACCTTGGATTCCTACATGTCACCTGCTGGCCCATTGTTCACTCTGGTTCACTGCTACAACAGCGTAGTAATGTCATTCAGATCCCTTTTATCACTGATCTGGTTTATTATTGTTTCTGTTCAGCTCTGAGGACGGAGCAGCTCTCAGGGTTTAGTTGTGTCACAACAACACGCTCAAAGAGCAAACTGCCAATCCTTGTTCAGAGCCTAAGAGCCATTACATCAGGCATTTAACGCTCGTTCACATTATACACTTTACTGTTCAATTCCAATTTTTGTCAATAGTGTGAACAGATCTCTGTCACTGAGTTTCAGAATAATTAGCATCAAATGCATGAGCCATGTTTGTCATTCATCACAAACATGGATCATGCATGTGGTGTTAATGATTTCAAGAGTATATTTGTAAGACAATAATCCATCATTGTAACAGCAGAATGAATGAATCAGCAGCGCAATCCTTTTGTTTGGAGTTCGGCTGATGGTTCATCAGCTGTTCATAATTAAGCTGAGCGTAAATAGGCCAGATGCAGAGTTGCTGTTTTTGCAGCTGGTACTGGCAATCCTCCATTTTTTTTCTTCAAGTTTGCTGCTGCTAGCATGCTGCGTTTGATGGACATGGCAGTGAATGCCTGCATGCCTGGTGAAGTCTGATGAAAAATTCTGAAAAAAAAAAAGGTTTCATTTTTATTACAGTTACAACATATTAGATATGTATCCAATCTAGAATAACATAAACTGCCAGTCAAATCCTCCCACCGCCCTATTTAATTGGGTTTTACAAAGTATACAGATACACACCTATCACATGTACTGCATACACTGTAATACACACATGGTGATATACTACTTATACATGCTGTAATACATTACTTCTACTAATACATTATCTCCATCTATTTCTGTGATGTCTTAAGACGTAAATGATAGTTTCACATGCCTGGTCCTAAGCTTGAATTGTTGTTGTTTTTGCACTGTTAATTAGTTACTTATTTTTACTTTATTTTTACAATAGACCAAACAAAACACTACAGAGTAGTAGCTAAATAAGGAAGCCTAAATCTTTGTAGAACTAATTAATGGTCAAACTCAGATATTACTGGGACTCTTAGTGAATGTTTTATTCAGGCCAGCAGACATTTCCTGATTAGATTAAATCTAGATTGTTCCAATAAAATAAAGTACTCCCTCATGTTCCAGTTGAGGTCATTTGAACAAAAAATGCTAAAGTGTAGAGTACTGAGAAAAACTTTGACTGGTAGTACGTAAATGTGGTTCAAATCTGATTTGAGAAAATTATATATTTACAATCTTACAATCAAAAATCAGATGTGTGCCACAGTGACCTTTTAATCTAGGCTTAAATATTGCCTCAGCAGCTCACAGATCATTTAAAATAAAATGTAACAAAATGTGCTGGATTAAAAGATTCAATCAGTAATATTTTGACTTACTCTTCCCTAAGACCGGAACCATGTAGTAGTGCAGATATAGTAGCTACAGTAGATAGACAGAATGCTGTTCAGTGGGTTGCTGGCCTGAGGGAACTTTCTGATTTGACTGAGAAATCACAGCACTCTTTTCAAACAAGAATGTCAATTTAGATCTATTATTAATATTCATTCAATGGGCATTTCTGGGTCAATTAATGGATTTCTTTTGCAGTTGTGACTGAAATAAAGCTGGACTGTGTGTTTTGGTCTGGAGCGTGGCAGTAAACAAGTGAGTCACACTAACTGCACTGAAAAGATTTGCATCACATCTCAAGATGTTTGGTTAATGTTGGGCAGTGAGAAAATGGCAAAGTACTTCAGTATCATTAGTGAAAGATGGTCAGTGATTTCCAGATGTCAACAACTCTCAGGAAACACGAGTGGCATTCGTCTAATAAATTCCAGGTCTTGTTGTGGACAACTAAAATGCCAATGTCATGTGCCAGTGACCTAATTACTGTATTTATACTAGAAAATTTTGGAAAATGTGTCAGATATGCAGGTGCTTGTGAGGAACATTGCCTAGTCTAAATATGAGTTTGCACTGATACAGAAGCGAAAAAATAAAATAAATAAATAGCCCAGCCTTCCTATATAAATGAGTCATAGGATGATGAGTAAATGATGCACTGAGACAGTGCATCCTATAAGGGTTACTACTTTTTGATTGAACTTGCTTTGTAGTTCATTGTGCAGTTTTTCCAATTGTCCATTTTGCTTACACATCAATCTATATTTATTGAAATATTCTAATGACATGGACAAAAAAAAAATGATGCAGTCTGATCACAATCTGCAATGATATTCTCATTCACCTAACGCAAACGTTTTGCAGCCCCTTTAAATGGAAAAGAAATTTCATGGTCCTGTCAGGACAGATTTATTTTATGAGCCTAATTCCACTATTTAAATATATATCTTTTTTTATAGATGTTTATTAGAGATCTAAAGATTTTTTTTATTCTTGAACTTTCCAATCACAAAACACAAAAGGCCCAAGTTGAGATTATTTATTTATTATTTATACTCTTACTTGCTATTAGAGTTATCGAGAATTGGATTAAAACCATTCAAATTTCAAAGACCAGTTATCCAGGCTAGTAATTATAACAATAATATATATAACTTTGATAATGGTTGGTTGCACCACTGTAACAAAAATAATAAATTAAGGATGTCCTGGACCCCACTTTATTGCTCTTCTGTTTTCTATTATACATCGCATAGACACTGAATGTGTGCTTTTGACTACAAGTTCTAACCTTATTTACTGATGTCTTTCACATAAACCTATGAGCAGATGTCACTTTTCGTCACTGTTCCTATTGAAATACAGCCAACATTCTTTGTGACTGAAGCTCCTACCATCTGGCCCCAAACAATGAACCCTCTTTCTAAGTCACTTAGATCAGTGCCTCACACACACATTCACACACTTACTCACACTAGAGGCAATTTAGGTTAGCTGGTCCACCTACTGGAGGAAACCAGAGAACTGAGGGGAAACCTAGAACATGCAAAACTCCACACAGACACTAACACAAGCTCAGGATCAAACCAAGAACCCTGGAGCTCGGAGGCTATCCACTCAAGCATTAGTGATTCAGTGGTAGAATTCTCGCCTGCCATGTGCGAAGCCTGAGTTTGATTCCTGGCCAATGCAGAGCTCCGTTTTTGCAATCACATTTGTGTAACACCTTTTCTCCCATTTATTTGAACTCTCTTTTTACATTGCTGTCATGTGTTTTCTCTTTTGTTTATTGAAAACACTTCATGTTAACTGTAGAGCTGTGCCACTGTAGCACAAGACTTTCATTGTTTCTTGTTTACTCTGTATTATGGAAACATTTCATAATAAAGCACTGTTGAACTTGTTCCACCATGCCACCCCAGGGCCCATATGCACCATCTTGTTCATTTGTTCAAGGTTCAATTTCAATTTGCAACACCGTGCATCATATTAAGAGAAGTTCCTTACATTTATTTTTTAGTTACAAAATTTTTAGGTTAGTCATCTTCACTTCAAATAACCAATAAATTAGTCTTACAACTATGATAACTTAATAATACCCATAGCAACCTTGATACTACTTGACAATAGAATAATCTCGACCACCATTATGGTATTAAAGAAAACAAACAAACAAACAATAAAGCCAGGGACCCCCTAGATATAAAGTACACTGTATAGCCAAAAGTATGTGGACACCTGAGTATTGGACAACAAATTCCTGAACCATGGGCATTTACTGCTCTAATAAACTCCACTCTTCTGGGAAGGCTTTCCACTAAATGTGTGGAAAGTGTGGCTGTGGGGATTTGTGCTCATTCAGCCACAAGAGCATCAGTGATGTTAGGCACTGTTGTTGAACGAGAAGATCTGGGGTGCAGTCGGCGTTTGAATTCATCCCTAAGATACTTCCAGTCCAACTTTGATAAACCATGTGTTCATGGATCTCGCTTTGTGCGCAGTAGTATTGGCATGCTGGAACAGGTTTGGGCCTCTTATTGACTGAACTGAAATTGTAATGCTACAAAATATAAAGAAATCCGATATAATTGTGTGAGGACCCACATACTGCATGGGTATAGGTTAGGTGTCCACTTACTTTTGACCATATAGTGTATAATCACAGGTCCCTGGACCCCACTTTCAGAACCATGGATTTAGATCTTGCCATCTTGATCCACAAATCGAAGTCTTCTGGGTTTGCTCAGCATTATTATACAAACCAAGAGCATAGAAGTTGTGTTAATTGCTTAATCGTATCATGTAGTACAGATGTCTGGGCGCATTTTAGTTCCTCCACTCACTCCTTCAAGTTCCTCCCCGCCTTTAATTTGCCGGTGTTTGTTACGAAAGACAGTCTGCGTTGCAAAATAGATTTTGTAACAGTTGTGTAATAGTAATTCGCCCCCTGCCGGCTAATCTGTGTCACTGCAGCGCGAGCCAAGTCGTAATACCGCCGCTCACGCGCTCCTCAGCTCTCATTCTCTAGAAGATGGCGGACTGCGTTTCGCTGTTAGATGAGGAGCTCTCTTCCTTCGTCTTCAATTACCTGACAGAAAACTCCGGGAGCCCGGTAAGAAACGCACGCGCTTCATAAGAACAGCTCTGCGGCAGTTGAACCGGCTCGGTGTTTTTGCGCGTGAGGTGTTTTGCACTGCAGCAGCGGCTCGTGCTCCTGAGAGATGCTGTGAAAGCGCCTCTGCTCCCGCGCTGCCGGCGTCGCGAGCCTCGCTGACGTCTGCGCTTCACGTGGAGGCTGGAGGAAATGATTGAAATACAGGAGGAGGAGGAGGGGGGAAGCACCGAACCTGCTCATTTATATAGTTTATTTCTATAAAAAAAAAGTACAATTCGGTTAATGTTTCATTTGTTGAAATGTCTACTAGGAGCTCGTTCAGTTTATGATCGCGCGCACGATTATGAGTATGTTTAAAAGTTTTTGCAATGAGTCTCGGAAGAAAGGAAAAGTCGCACACGTGGGTGCTCGAGTCTGTTGAACTTGAACTCCAGACATGTGCTCCAGAGATCTGTTTTATATACCCAGGGCTTTCCGAGCTGTTCAGACAACACCATTCGGACAGAATGAACAGAAACGGGGCAGAAGCTGGGTTTTTGTAGAAATGTTTTTGCCACATTACACCTCTAAGCTAGATATAGGCTGCATGCATGCCGCAGATGTGGTCTGTAGGTGTGCTCCTGGGTGAGAAAACAGACGATTTGTAGCCTAATAAATGTAATATTTTGCTGGTCACATTGAGTTTGGCTGTTTTTCTGCATACCGCAGCTCCCATTCATTCCTCCTACAACCCTGCTGTCTCTACTAGGCTCTGAAGCTGAACAACTTGGAGTGTGCTCGGGCATTGGAATGTCACCTGATGTGGTGTTTAATGAAGATGTCACCTATAGGTTACCTTATGCAAATGAGATCTAGATTGGGTATCATTGCGCAAGTGAGGAAGAAAGTTCGCACATTGTTGAAATGGGGATGTTGACTTGAATACCAAGTGTTTAAGTGGATATTGCAGTAGGTGCTTGATTTCAGGTCGATCACGGCGTTAAGAGTAAAATACAGCAATGATGTGACGTCCATGCCTATAGGATACAACTACAGATAGAATTCTGTGAACTCTGTCCACATTCAAGACTGAATATTAAACATGCATGTACAATGCATACATGGAAATATATGTATGTAACCTATATATGTTTAAAATAAAAAACGATTATGTTACGCTCGCGCCGGGTTACCGGGACGAACCGCCCGGTGTGAGTGTGTGTGTGTGTGCGTGCGTGTGAAATAGTACTCCGTCCTCGTGACAAGAACTTGCTGCAGTCACGTGCTTGCCCCTGCCGCGCGACGTAGTGGAGTCAGAGACGTCACGGCGGACGCGCGTGCGTCGCAGCAACTCACACGCCAACCCAACCCGTGCCTTCTCCTGCTCCCTCCACTGCGTTGCGCAAAAGTGGAGCAGCTCTGATCACGACGTACACAGGGTTGCCAGATTGGGCCTTTCTAACACAAACAGGAAAAAACCCAGCGTTGAGATTATGAGTATACATATGTGTGTATACACTCACCGTCCACTTTATTAGGAACACCTGTATGTCTGCACATTCGTGCAGTCATTAAGTCAGCCAATCATGTGATGGCAGCACAGTGCATAAAAACAGGTCAAGCGCTTCAGTTCATGTTCGCTTCAAACATCAGTATATGGAAAAATCAGAGTTTATTTGACCGTGGCATGGATGTTGGTGCCAGATAGGCTGGTTTGAATTTTTCAGAAACTGTTGATTTCTCTAGAGAATAGGTCTGCATTAGGATTGCTGAGATAGCCGGTGTTACCGGTGTTACGCGGTGTTGGGGTCATACACCGATTACATCACTTTCCCACCACGACAATGCACACACAGTCATTTTGCCTTTTTATAGTAATAAAAGTCATTTAGTTCAGTTAGAGAACAGACACTACAATTAAAAACTGAACACGTCTGCTCGATTTAGCATGAGCTGAATGAGTCGGAGTCACAGCACAGATCAGCAGGAGTCAGATTTCATTTATCACATAACGAGAGTGAGGCGAGCTGACTGACAAGACGATGGCGGAAGATTTGCTTTCAAAAGTTCTATGTTTAATATAAGCATGTTAATCATTCTACTATTTTGTAGTTGTTGGGTTTTCATTAAGAATAAGAATGAACCCTCCATTCAAGCAATTGCCGCTAATTTGAAAGCAAAAGGGAAATGCCACATGTCTATTAAACGATGGGAAAATTTCCTCCCTGTCACATCCCTAGTCTGCAACCTTATGCACAAAATGCCTGTGTGGCTGAAGGTTTTCATTCTAGCTAAGCAGAAGCCATACCTTATTCCCCTTTTTTTTAACCAGTTCACCTTGGTCTTCAACTACCAATCAGCTATCAAGCTTGCATCCAACTGGGCTGGAATAAAAGCCTGCAGCGACACCAGCCCTTTGTGAATAAGAATGAAGACCCATTCTCTAGAGTGGTGCGGAAAACAAAAATCAATACACTCAGCGGCAGTTCTGCAGATGGAAACGCCTTGTTGATGAAAGAGGTTAGAGAAAATGGTTAGAGTATACAAGGTGGCTATGGTAACTCAAATATCCTCTCTTTAAAACCATGGTGTGCTATTAAGGATCTCAGAACACATATGTCGAAAATTAAGGCTGAGGAAATCCCATGCGTACACAGGGAGGAAGGAGCTCTTGGTGCCACCGTGTGTGTGTGTGTGTGTGTGTGTGTCCTGTATCTGCTTGCATAGAATTCAGAGAATGTCTAAGTAATTTCTGTAATAATTGTTGATGTAGTAAAATTATACCTAGTACACAAAGTTTCCAGGAAACAAGACATTATAGCTGTTGGATCTGGAAATGATCTAACTTACAGTAAATATGCATTTTTAACTGTTCTTCGTTGATACAATACAGATATCAGTGTCTTAAGTAGCAGCTATAGTGAGAGTATAAGTAAACTGATTGTCTTGCAGTGGCATTAATTCTAATTTGGCAACCCCAGACCCTTAGTTCCTTGTTCAAACTGGTTATAACAGAGAGTGCCCTGAGAAGAAACTCATTTCCATGGAGTTTTAAACTCCCTGATCTGCTCGCTGATGGAATAGTTGGGAAACTGCTAAGCCAAATCTCAGCCAGGTTGCCGTTTAACTCGTCCCTTTTCATGCATGCTTGTGTCTTGCTGTAATGTTGAACAAAGCCTAAGTGACAGTGGGATCTACCTGGCTTCGATCTGTACATATCATATGTAGTGTGTACATGTAGGTCAGTATGGATACAGTGTGAAAGCTGAAGAAATGGTTGCATGAGTGTCTGACTTTTGATTTAACCTGAGCATACACCAAAGGACTTTTACAATCCTAGCAGCGGAACTCATCACACATTTAATGACTTTTTGTTCCATCATAGATGTTCACGCACTGTATGATTTATGAAGGATGGGCAATTCCAGGGGATCATATAGCTGAAGGTCATTGTGTAGCAGACACTAGAGAAGGCAAGACGGAAGAATACCAGAGATAAGATCAAGCCAAACGGACGCTGTCATACTATGATCATATTAAATTGAAAATTGCGCTTAAAATCTTTTGGGATTTGTTTAGCTATAGGTGTAAAATATGC